TTTATATATTTATTCACTTTATTTATAAAGGACGCATGTTATTAAATATATAAATATTATTATATGTAAAAAATAATAAAATAAAATAAAATAAAAAAATAATAAAATTAAATAATAAAATAAAATAAATTAATGACTACATAAAATCTGTCACTTGCCAGTTAACTAGTAACTTTTAGTAGGAAATGCAACATAAATATATGGTTTAATTTGAACTGCAATAACTAACGTCTAACCCTAACACAAGTAATGATTTATTTTTAAGACATAAATTGCAATAGAATCTCTTTACTAGATGAGTCACATGATACTAATGAGCTACTGTATGTTAATAGTAACGCTTGACTGGGCAAGCATCAATAATGAATACTGATAATAATGATGATTTGATGTTATTCGGGCTGATCAGCAGCCCACGTTTAAAAACTGTGAGATGAGTCGTCACCGATAGCCTCGTGGGCAGCTCGTCGACATGTATTGCCATTGTGCTTCGGGCGTCCCGTGTTCGAGTCCCGGCTCGCGGACCTTTCCCGATCCCATCCCCCCTCTCTCTCCCACTTCGCTTCCTGTCTCACTATTTATCCTATCAATAAAAGGTAAAAACGCCACAAATAAATCTTTAAAAACTGTGAGATGAGAGTTGTCAAATGAAAATGAAGTAAGAGTTGCTATGCGAAATGTGATAATCTTGGCAAAAGGCTCAGATGTTGTATTATTCAGTAACTTCCTCTACGTTATTTCCCAGGAGTTTAAAGGCTTGAGAATTTAACCCCACAATTGATTCAAGTCAAATTATTTTCCAGAAAACATCAGAAATCTCGCTCGTAATCTGATCTATACTTCCGTCTTTGGCATCACGAATGCCCTCCCGGGGACGTTAGAGATGAAGTTTCACCAGCCTCCACGAGCTTCATGATCTCCACGCGGCGTATCCTGACGCTCTTCAGAGTCATGATGTCATCAGCAGGTCCCTCATCATCTTCCTTTATCTTTTTTCCTCAATCTCATTACTCTCTCTGTCAAAAGCTTTGTTCCAGTGAGCT